CCTAACACGTGTTGCTGGTTTAGTCTTTCACCGATTGAAGAAGACACCAGAATCCAAGTCTGGGGACTTTTATCCCGAAGTTGCTGGTTTAGTCTTTCACCGATTGAAGAAGACACCAGAATCCAAGTCTGGGGACTTTTATCCCGAAACCTAAGTTTGGATAAGTCAGCGTCTAACACGTGTTGCCGGTTAGTTCTTGACCATAAAAAGGACAAAAGCCAACATATTCGACATTGTGACAGGTTGTTATTAATAACACCACAATCCGTACTTTACACATACGGGGAATTTTATCCTGAATCCTAAGAAGGGATAAGTCAACGCCTAACACGGGTTGCCGGTTTAGTCTTTCACTGATTGGAGAAGACACCAGAATCTGAGTCTGGAAACTTTTATCCTAAAGCCTAAGTAGGGATAAGTCAGCGCCTAACACACGTTGCCGGGTAGTCTATTCCCGTAAGAAAGACGAAGTCTACGTATTTAATATCGTAGCACTAAAAGAGTTAACTCTCTTAGCACAACGTTATGTGCAGAACAGAGTTAAACAATCTGCATGCTAGCCCGACTCAAACGGTAGTCGGTAAAGGCTAATCAAACCCGTTGATGGCTGAGAATTTGCCAAAAATTCTATAAATGTGAGTCATTGATGCACCAGCCTCATTAGTTGGTCTCGTGGCTTGAGGATCCAACAACTTCAGGATAAGATCTATACATGCAGATGAATCAACATTAATAGTTGGTCTTGTAACTCCGACATTTGGGACCGCCATACTCCAATGCCTGTAGGGTGAAAATTTGATTCTTCCGAAGAAAGGAGTTTCGTTTGTATTTATAAGAAAGCTTATTACAAACTAACAAATCAAATGTTTACAACAGAAGCAGAGGGAAGGCCCTCTTTGTTTTGTGTGGGGACTTTAGGTGGCTATAGGACGCTTCGCTCGATGCTCGGGTCGAGTCTGCTTCCCTTGGACCGTTTGAATGAGGTTGCTGGAGAGCTTCAGTTCGCAGTAGAAGCTCGGGGCAATGGAGTTCGGGTCTGCTTGGTTCGTCGGCGATCGGAGCTCGGAACTAGGCAGCGGCGCTGTAATGCAAGGATGTGCTAACAGCTTGGTCTCAACTCTTTTTTTTTCTCCAAGTTTTGCGACCTTTCTCCATCGTGCTGGAAGGGGCTTTTAAATGAAAGAAGGACAGCTTGACTTCTCCTTGAATTGTGGGATGTGACCACATCCTCTTCAGAGACGTCTCGCCGTTCCTTGATACCATGAATGGTCATTCCAGGGATTGTGCTTTATGTCCTGTCACCTACGATGGGAAGGCCCATTCTTGTATGTGAGGCAACAAACGACTGCTATCCGAGTGGATTTGACCAGCATTAATGAACCGCATTTATGAGTTCGCAGATCGATGAAGTGTCTGTCCGATCACTTGTACTGTGCGTGACCGCCCGGCGTGCTTTGAGCACGACGCTTTCTCCTTTCCGGTCAGGAGAGGCGGTGAAGTAGGTGTACAGTACTCGAGTGGGTCTAGCCAGCTTGCCGAGTGCCGGCGGATCCAGCTCTTGGCTCAGACAGCCGAGGTGAGTCGCATTTATGAATGCTCAGGTTGACTCGACACCTGTCCAGCTCCTTCGCGCTGTGCGCACTGTGGGCGGCCGTTTTGACGGTCCTGGGGTACTGTGCTCTCTCTCCCTTCGGGTCGAGAGAGATGGGAAGGTCCATCTCAGCACGTGGGGTAGTGGATACCCAGCTGTACTGACGGTTTTGGGGCTTGCTGGCGGATTCGACTCCGAACTCGGGCAGGCGAGTTGAGCGAAGAGCAAATTTCCGCCATCCTGATCGCTCCTGACTCATGCTGGCGAGTCGACCGTTAGGCGAACCTGGACTTGAGTACAGTCGACGTCTACGCGGTTTAGGTCCGTGCCAGAGAATTGGGCGTGCGAACTCTTCTCGTAGGCAAATTTCCTGTAGACCCATAGAGGTATTTTTTACCGTCTACAAGACCCCCTTCAAAGTTTTCAGACCTGAACTGGCTTGCGTGTGGTCTGGAATACTTTGAATGAAGAAATTGTTGGCGAAGCAAGTGCCTTCGATTTCTCTTAGGATTTTTAGCAAATCCTCAGCTATCAACGGGTTTGATGTGCCTTTACCGATTACCGTTTGAATCGGGCTAGCCATACTATTCTCCTCAGTATGATGAGTTGTCGAACAGTTTCTCTTAGGCTTAATGCTAAGATTTCTGCTCTAACCCTTAGCCATCTGGGGCGTGGGTTTCAACCGTTTAAGCAAGGTCATTCTTTTGGCTTTGTTCGTAATTTTACCTTTGAGGGCGAATGCATCGCCAAGGCGAAATTAGTTTTTGAGAGCCAATTTTCGCGCGCCTCGTGGGGTTATGCCCAGTATTTGCAGGCGAAACCCTTCCTTTTGTAGGCGGAACCGGATCTGACGGGAGATGAGCCACGTGTCTGCTGATAGAGCCTCGTGCTTCCCAGCTAAGACATTGGATCGTGGCGATCGTGACTTGACAGCACGATCTTCGTGTGTTTCGCCCTGCGACGTATCGTGGCCGTGGTTCTCGGACTCAACCGTCGGATTCAACCGCCAATCTCGGTTCCTTCGATGTACTGAGGGTGATCTGGGCCGTCGAATTTGATCGTGGCCCCGTTTCCTGTCCGTTAGGGTTTTCGCCTTTCGAGGGCAGTCGTGGCCACGTGGACAACTCCGCCCTTCTAAATCAGCTGTTTTCCTCCATTGGGAGTTACCGTGCTTTCAAATCTTGAAAGGGAACATCCAAGGAAAGAATTCCCGCTTCCTCTTACAATGGCTCCGAAATCTAAGAGGTGTAAAGTGAGGGGTGCAGGCCCCGGACGTTACTCCGACCGTCTCTCTGCCGGCATGCCTGCCGGTGCTATGGAGTCGCGCCCAGGTACGTTGATGGGTTTGCTGGACATTCTCTTGTAGGTCTTAGGCGTTGGATTTGGGGAGATGAGCGTTGCTCGTTAAGCTTGGTAGCCTTCCCGATTTGGGGCAAAGTTTGCCCTATTTGCCCTTAGAAGACGATTACTGTCTCCGCGGGCGAGCCCTTCAGCGGGAAGGAGGCGAACTCCCTTTTTGTAAGGCGAGTCCGGCCCTTTCCTGTTAGAGGGACGTCTAGTCTGTAGGGGCAGACTTTATTCGAAGTGGGTTCCTCCTTGCGATTTCGCCCTCCTCTGTTTGATGGGCGATTTTGCCCCTACAGCGGATTTTGTCTTGATTGACCTTCTTCTTTTCTTTTTCTTGCAGCGACCTTTTCCGATGAGGCTTTTCCAGAGGGTGTGGCCGTCGGCCACGTCGGGGCTACGAGCTACGCAGCACCTTCTCGGTTTCCCTCTTTGGCTCCAGTACCCGTGTTCACCGCTGATAAGCCGCATGGTCTGATACAGAGGGTCTCGGATGGTCATCATTTGACCCTACGCGAGCTGACAACCAACGCGGCGCTGATAGATGAGGCCAGGGCAGAGCTGCCGAAACCTCAATTTTTGTTTGGCGACTCCATGAACGACCCTTCCGCCCTGTTGCTCAAAGAGAGCCGGTGGTACCGCACGGTAGAGGGGACCCATTACTACCT